CACGTCTTCGATGCATGAATGCTTGCTTATGTTGTAAGGTCAGCCTCTTTCATTGAGAATGAAATTGTGCGGCAATCACTGGAACTCAATGATTGTGCGCCATGCATCAAAAGACACGAACTCATCGCGAAGAAATTAGACAATCTTTCTTCTTCACTGACAAAACAATACGACTTCAGGTTGATCCACTGTGAATGTGCATTCCCTCATCATCCTCTGTATGAGTGGATACCGATGGCCACATTATTGTACGCCTTCTTTTGTATGTGACTTCACTGCTAACCACAAGCCATTCCAAGTAGACATGGAATACCTAGGCCACCTTCATTTTCATCCATAGACCGTCCTAGAAGGGAATTAACTAAGCACGCTAATGAAGGCAAAAATTGCATGACAAGAGCTACCTGAACCACCACAGAATGCACCTCCACGGTATTATGGTAAATGCAGTCAGATTAGCAGGCAGAATTAGTCATACGGTCATTTATTTCTACTCTCATTGTCAACTACTTCTGTTGGAAATTCTATCGCTGCTTACTTTGTTGACGAATTTTTTTTATAAAAAAAGTAAGTTATATTTATGCATATTAATCAATACAAGCAGAGGTATTTTTAAGTCTACTGTCAGCTTACCTTCTTTTTGCTTTCAATGTTTTCGCATGTTCTTGCTACTTTGATGCCTTCGATCTGTCACTCAGTGCTTGAAAGCAACTGCACGTGGAGCGTTCAAATAAAAATGAGTTTGAAGAGTGAGAGACATTCACAATAGCATAGCCCATATCCAGATGAAGACTGCGCCTTTCGAAGGAAGGGATTTGAACGTTTTCATAACTTAAAAGTGAACTTTTTTTGGAATTTTCACTCCTGAGTCACGATTCCCACAAGATTTTGTGAGTGTGTAACTATTCAGCAAGTGTAACATTCACTCAATGCTTCGGTTCTTGATGTTGTGAATTTCTTGTAAAAAGTGGACAAAGTGCTGTCATTGATAGTAGCTTAACTAGGATATACGAACCATAATTTCCTCTTGACCACCTTTTATTACATGCCTCATGAGGTTTCGTTTCGATGTTAACATTATGGCTTTGCGTATGTCAGATGTCCATTTGCTTTGTATCACTTTGAATGACGGCATTTCAGTAGGTTGTTTATGCAAGACCAGTCCATGGAGGCCATCGTCATACCAATTGGAACATTGAGAATCTCTCAACGCAAACTCCAAACCACGTTTTTTTAACCTCTCCTTACCTCTCAATCTCAAATGAGTCCTGTCATTATGAGTGGTACAGTAAATGCCAAGTTTTGCTATCCAAGGTCGGTGATATGAAGTAATAACCAATATCATCAGTCTATCTAAGTCTTCTCCTCTCTTAAGTATGTAGAAAATCTCACATGAACTGTTTAGTGTCTTCTGTACGACTTTGTTTTAGGTCTTGTGTCACTCCTTCCTCATCGTCCCCTCCTTCCTTCCTCTCTACCCTCTGTGTCCTCCTTGCTCACTCCATTGGGACATTAAGTAATGTCCTCTTTTCAAGTATTCACTGTTGGAACCCACGTTTGTCTTTGATGAAGGGAGACAACCCTATAGTCTGGGATTTAGAGCCATTTTTAACGTCCATTGACAAATATTAAGTCTTACCGCCTCTTTTATTCTGTATTTTTTGCTTCCTAACCGCGATTGCGTCATGGAAGAATTGTTGGGCGAGTCCCGAGTTGAGCGCCCTCCCATGACCAATTTTTGTGTCTCGTCTGGTGAGAATATGAATGGAACTTTTATCCCACCGACTTATAAGTTGCAGTTTCTATCCCATGGAGGGTTGGAAATTATATGATCTTCCCTGTAGACCTGCGTAATCCACATAACAATTTTTTGGAGACAAACATTTCTTATTGTCGATGAGACTTACCATTTGCCTTGATTGCCCCATGAACAAGAGTTACATGGGACTGCAGGCCTCTCAAACCTGTTGTGTAAAAAAGTTCTTCAATGGGCCCCTTTGAAATACCACATGGTAAAGTGGACAAGCGGCTACCTGAACGGCGTCGGTATCATCTCCCTTTCTCAATTTTCGACAAGTCGGTTGTTCGATGTGAACACCTTTCTAGATGGTGGTCACAGCAACGAAGTTCTTTGCCACCCGTATGATTGCATAGATAATGAGGCATACACTAGGAATGATGGCAATTAAAATAAGCACCACAGTGCAACATCTTTCTTCACACACTTTTAACACCTCCAAGTTTATCCGAAGTAGGGCCACTGGTGTTATTCACTTACCCACCTCATCAATTGTTAATCAGGATAAGTGTGTTTCTCATACATCAAAGTCCATGAATGAGACCACAGTGTGCTCAGTTGGTTGGAATCCATTTTTTTCTCTTCTCTTTTTTTTTGCCGCAAACTTCCTGCTTGAAGGAAACACGCTCAGATACGTAGAGAGGCTGACCCATCACTTTCTTCATGGGTGGACTCGTCCGCTGAAGTGCGGATCTAGGTGATTAAAAGTGGGTCAAAATATCACCCAATTTAACAGTATGACAGTGTTATGTGAATAATGTGGTTGTATTTTTTAATGCAATTTTAGACACTGTTTCTGTGCTCATTTATGCTGCAACAAGGCTTTACAACGACACCACATTTCTCACGCAACAGTGCAACCTTCTAGTACCAATGCCACATGTTTGTGAGGCTAAAATTTCCTTGTCAAAATGCAGTGCCTTTATTATCAACTTGCAATAATTGCTGTTGTTGGCGTGTTTGTAATTCAAACCAGTCGAATGGATAGAGGAGTAGCTCTCCGCTTGGTCTTGAAATGCCTTGCAAATAGCAGTTTAACCAGTGTCACTCTCAAAGTGGCGCAATTAAACCTCTCGTCTGGACTAAACAATTCACCACCTTTTGAGGTGGGGATGTCTTTTCTCCCACCCCAGGATTGAAAGACTGCCTAATTTAGACTGTGTGCAAATAATGCACAAAATGCATGAATGATGGGGATGAAACATTGTAATATCATGGCATATCCGGGTGTTGCATCGATCAGAGGATGTGAGTGTGCCACTTTAAGTTCACATTATTTTCTCATGGAAGGCATTGCTGTGTGAAAGAAGTTGTTAAACAGATTAATGTACAAGGCTTAGTTTTTTTGTGTGTGTTTTTAATACCACAAATGGCAGGTGCCCTGTCCTCCCTTTTCTCGCCCTCCTTCCCCCACCCTCCACTCCACCGCTTTAGTGATCAAATGCGACGCAATTGAGATGCTATTGAAGTTATTGTGATGCTGTTACGTGACTTTGACCCACCCCAACACTCCTCCCTATTGCTTCTCCATCTCATCAGTGATGCCTTCATTGTTGGCTGTCAAACGGATCAATCACCTGGGAGGCAGAAATGAGGGAGTCATGAAAATGCACCGCATTTTGAAGATGTAAGGAGTCAGCACTGTTTATTGGTGTGGGTATTTTGGGGTCCATAATCACATTTCACTTTTAACAGTACAATCAATGAACTGCTTTGACAAGTCCTAAAGATGATGTACCGATTTGCAATCCACCTGCTCCTTCATTGTATTCATTTTATTGTCACTTCATTTTAGTCAGGAGATACATGTGTCAAGCGCTGCTCGCAGGAGCAGTACCCTGATGAGCAGAAGAAGCTCTGTCTACCCTGCAACGCCAAGTGTTTAGCCCCATTGAAACCAAACTTCCTTCCTGATGGCGTCTCGGCGTGCTCTGGACCTGGTGATTACCTCGGACTTGGGGGATGTGCCTTCTGTTACTTTGTAAAAAAAGGTTAGTGGGAGAGTGGAGATACTCGGGTTCCGTTACACATACGTGGCAGGTGCAGAAAATGGAATCGCATTCCAAATCAGAAAGATTGTATGGGAAAGGCGTTTATTTGGAGGTGTTTAATCTGAAGCCTCCTCCTAATGGACGGTCACTTTCGTATCTTTGACTGTTTACTGATCTTGATTTTTAGTTCATGTCAGCATTCCTAGTATGCACCCTCAACTTATTGAGAGACAGTCACCACAATCGCTAGATGCAGAGCGAGACCAAATTTTGGAGATGCGTATGATGATCTAATTTGTCGCCATTTAAGATAAGTCATTTTGCCTTTGCTGTGCTCTGATCGCTCGCGAAGTCGTGTATTTGAGTTGGTCAAAACGGACTCCTCTTCTCTTCCCCTCCCATGCCCACTAAGTAGGGCAAATATTTTAGCAAATTAAGTGTATTGTGAAACCTTATTAGTACTTCGTCTTGTGTTTCTCCTAGTCTGATGGAGGTGGGCCTAATTTTGCTGACTGATGGATAGTTAAAAAACTTCTGCGGTTGATTGTTTATCCCCACTTAGTGAGTATGAAGACGAATGAATTGATTGAGGCAATTAAATTGACATTATTTTCTCCTCGACAATCTCACAGTTAGGCAATAATAATGAGGTTCTGGTACATTTATAATCGTGCTTTTTGGAGTATGGTAAAATTGTATTGGCATCAAAATTTACCTAATTTACTTTCTTTCTCCCTGATTGGTGGATGTTTTGCCTGGCCGAATACCTGTGTTCTGATTGGTCGAAGCACCATCTTGGCTAATAATATAGGGGGACTATGGCACGGAAATGATAGGAATTGGTTATTTTATCGTTACTAGTATCACAGTACTTTATTCATAAAATTTACCCCTTGATTTACTCATTTTGACTGGAATCACACCTGATTATTTTGGCGACCAAGCACAATCTTTGCCAATATCTGGGAAAGAAGTGGGCAAAAGTCTTCTCCTAGTTTCTTCCACAAATGCTTGGAAATTCCAGTTAATGGAGAATGAGGTGCACACACACTAAACTTATTATTTCTCTCCGTATCTATTCATCTTATGTTCGTTGAAATTTGTACAAGTTTGACGAGATACAAACTGCATACCATTATGTTGGCGTCTGAATAAGCTGTTTGCAGAAGTGGAACACAAGGCATTTCTGGTTTACGCGCACAGACTTGTCAGGTTAAGAATGGGGAAGTGAAATCATTCGCTGATAGTCAAGTTATTGCCTTTGTTGAATCCCACTGCTCTGTTGAAAGTTTTATGAGGCACCGTGGTTGGCAAAGTTGTAATTGCAGAGTGACTAAGTAAGTTCTGAGAAACAGGTAGATGAGTGAAGAGGGCTTTAAAATATTTCATTCATTGATATTCAATATGTAGCAAAAATAAAGTAGCTGGCATGGCGATGGCTACTGACATCTGACTTCATCTAATATTGGCAAATAACCTTCCTCTCTCCACCCTCCTGGCTGCAGAAGACAGTCAGGTAGCCAACCTGTTAGAAAGCAGTCTGATATGTGACCGGTTCAGTTTTTTAAGCTCGAAAGATGCACAAAGTGAGGTAGTACAGGGCGCGGACCTATTTGTTTGGTACTTCCCTCTATGACTTTTCCATTTGGGGTAATAGTAATAGGTGTCAACACTGGATTGTCACGCCATTATTCTGACTCTGTTAAAAGCCAAATTATGCGTGTAATACCCATGGATAGGCAATAGCTTTACTCACACCGAAGTATCTGTCGCACTGAGACGCGCCGCTGGTAGATGTTTTTAAAGCGTCAAATTGTGAGGTGGTTATAGTAGCGAACAGATGCACTTGCTGATCACTGACTAAATGATTGGCTGGTTGATCACCGCCCATCCAACCGTGCACCCTTTAAGATAGTGCAGCTAGACAATAGAAGGTGATTTCTGAGTCCTGTACCGACTTTTGCTGAAGATTGTTTTGGCCATCCCTTCTAGTCTTCACTGGAGTGCGTTTGGCACCAAGTTTTTCTAACTACCATGTAACGTAGCTATCCACTTTTAAGACGAAAAAATGTAGTATCAAATTGAGTTTAGCAGTTTTGAGTTTGTCACTTGGTAAAGCCTGTGCGTCAGTGAGCGCTTACCTGTCCGAGGTGAAGGCACGAGAAAGGAAGGGGGATGATTGAGAGATTTAGCTCATTTTCACTAGGTTGTGTGAACTTCACTAATGGGGCGTCCTCCCACAACTTTGGGCTATTGTTTACCTCATTTTTTTATGAATTTGTACAAAATTTTGTTGATAGGATGCCTGTGAAATAGTACTCTAAATTCTTTTCTCTCTATTTATATACATTCATGGAAGGAAAACGACAGCTCTTGTCGGGTTTTCAGAGAACGGATGTTTAACTACCCTTTTTTAGGGAAAGAAAAAAATGTTTTGTCAGTAAATGTTCATAACTTTTTTTACCTTCGGTCGCGTCTTCCCTTTCTCCCTCACTCACTTGCTTAGAGGCAAACGCACACTACCACACTTAAGACGGCCACGAATCAGACCGGCCAGACTCCGTTATGGTTAGTCGAATTTGGGTTTTGTTGTGACCTCGGAATTCCTTTTTTTTTCACTTTTTTAATGCGCTTTATCAAGCACTGCACCCACTGCATAAGTAATGAACCGGTTCCCTCATTTATCACTTTGCCGAGTGTAGATGTCAGCCCAGGCGAATTAGCACTCCAGGCATCTACTTTCAAGCTTCAACGGGGGTGCGATACCTCAGCCTATGTCATGCGTCTATTATCGTCATTGACACTACCGACGTAACTGATGTTCAAGGATGCGATTACCTTTCATTACTTCGTCTGCAATGTTCTTTTTTTTCCCCAGTATCAGCCACCAAGCTTCATTCGGGGACACTTTTCCAAAAAGCCCCTCCTTCGTGATCTGCGCTTTGTAATGTGTCGATCACCTTTGCTCAGAGCATTCCCTTTGATTGTTCTTCAACGAAAGGAAGAATCACAGTTCTAGGTTCGACTACTCACCTAGGTATTTCTGCAGACAGTGAGTTGGAGGCCTCACCTCCTCCTATTTCCTTATTAGCTGTGATAGAGAACTTTAGACAGAACTATTAAGGGCTTTTGGGTGTTCAGGAGAGATTTCTCATTTAATGAAGTCAAGCAAATACCGATCTATTCAATTGGAGACCTCAAAATAAATAAAGTGTCACCGCTAAAACACCACTAATGTTCCTCAAAGTTGCATAGAATATGTAAATGAAAGTAAGCTGTTTTGCTTTGTTTCTTTTTTTGCTTAGATAAAGACACCTCCAGGTATCAGTGTTTGGATATGAAATGCCCACCCGAACACTTCGGCAACGCAACGTTCTTGAAGTATCTGAACTTGAAGAAGGAGGAGTTATCCCTGGTTAGCATGCAAGTGGCAAATTCGGCTCTCCAAGAATGCGTTCCCTGCCATCCTGAATGTGAGGTCTGTGTCGGTCCAGGAAATCACATCTCTGTGTGCCGAAAATGTCGAAATTGGATGTACCGGTCGGAATGTGTGAATACTTGTCCTCCTGGTGAGTTAAAAACACCGGCAGAGTTGCCGATCCACTATTATCCTGCTGAAAAAAAATGTTTTGGAAAAGCATTCTTTCATCAAAGGGATAATTACTAACCGTGACGGCATGACTGTCACCTAAAATAGAAAGTTATGGATTTAACCGGGGTATCAACAAGTCAACTTTAAAGGAATGGCCAACTTTTTTTGTGTTATAGTTGCAAGTTTGATAGTTGCATGTAACAACCTTTTTTTTACGACTAGATGTGACAAAATCTTAGCATTCCAATCCCCTCTCTCCCCTCCCTACTGAGTTGTAGTGATACATTGTCAGTGTGAGGGATTGACAGGGAGGCCTATAGGCATGCCTACAACGAAAGTACAAACCACCCAGCTCAAATAGAGGCATTTAGAGTCACCTTCCTTGCCGCCATATTTATGTATCTTGCCTAATGCTCTAACTTGCACAACTTGATCACCAAATGCGCATGTAAATGCGAATATCTTGGTGCATTTTGATTGTCGTTTTTCCTTTTCTTCTTGTCGATCTCCATTCTGTTGCCCTTTATCGAATAACTTTACCCTGGAAGTCGGGTTTTTTGATAAAAGACTCAATTTAAATAAGTTCCTCGAGTTTAATCAACTGTGTTTCTTTTTCCGTCATTTCTAAGTTACTAGGCTTCTGAAGACGGAGAGTATGCTTTTGCCCTGCATAAACGTTGTATTTTTCAACAGTGGACAATCACTGATCATTCGAGGATAGATGTTTCTCGAAGCATTATCTTGCGTGGGTTCTGGAGCCTTTATTATTACCATACATGAAGTAGAGGGTAGTACTGGTTCCAACAATAGAAGTTCTTGTGCAATTAACTGTTTGACGGGTGAATAGAGTTGATGGGATTTTGATTTGCCCCACCTCAGCAATTTTTTCCTTACAAAAATGAATGCATTCGGAAATACTTGATTACAAAAAATGATGGTTGTCAGTCCGCTTCTTCTCTTCAAAATAACAACCTAAAAGTTGAAGAATATGTGAAATCTTGACACCCAAAACATGCAGATGTCAAGCCATATTTGCTACACATTCCTCCCTAGGCAAGGCATTGTTGTTAATGCAACATCAATTTGATTAATGACTGACAGACATGAATGGGTGTGATTTGTACTTAAACGCACCAATTAATTCATCCGTTGCACTTCAACCATTCACGTGTCGCTAAGGCTTGACGCCATACTCATCTCTATCTATTTTGAATTAGGGGTTTCAATCCTAGTGATAACAGTGGGTAAATCTAGCTTAAAAAACCCTAACATAAATGTTATAACTTCTCAGGCTTGATTGGCATAGCTGTGATGGTAGAATTGTTCTTTCATAAGTGTTCATTCTTTGTAATGCGATGCGTCTGCTTGAATGGCTTCTCTGTGCTCTCCCATCAGACGACACCTATGTGCCGAATGCAACAGAAATGGAACACCTCTCGGAAAGGGAAAAACAGATGCTGGAGAGGCGAGAATGTCTCCGATGTCACGAGCAATGTGCGGGAGGATGTACAGCCTATGGACCGGAGTTTTGCAACAACTGTCGCTATGCAAAAATTATGATTGATGTGCAGGAAAATAAGGTTTGTTTTGCCGTGGTCAATTGGATTTATTTAAAATAATGCTGAGGGGGGAAGCATCTACAATTCCTTTGTTATTTTATGCGAATTTTATCGCTATCTTTCTATTCGTCCTCTCCTGCCACATCATCATCATCATCATCACTATCGTCAGCAACCTTAGACACACTAATGCGCACCTTTTACTTGTAAAGAAGCTATAGGGTCAAAATTTTTATCTTCTCTGCTACTTTTTAAGCAACTGAAGTAAACGTTTATCACTTCTCCAAACAGCCTGCCATTTGGTTGGGAGTCTTCCGTTAGCGTTCAAAGCCCCATAAACCAGACTACGGGCAACACTTGATGCAAACACACACACACACACACGCACACATACAGAGAGACAGGCATTCAGTTCTGCCTTAGTCACCTCTCTCATCGCTTTCCCGATCTGACACTTTGTTGAACTTTAACTTCCCTGGATAGCTTTACAAGGGAACTGTACATCCACTTCTCATCACCCGCTGCTAAGTACATCTGTCAACGAAGATGAAATTGTGCTCTTATCACACCCAACCAGGTGTGAGAAAACATGAGCGCTTTACCTTCGTGACAATTTATGCGAAAGTGACTGTGATACTTAACCGACGAAGAGCTGTCGAATCGTCAACCGGGTGTGGTCACAATGCAAGCTCAGACTTGACTGCTTTTGTCAAAAGGCACATTGGGGGTTTATGCCCATTTTTGCTATCCTTCCTAAATTTTTGGTGGTAATTTGTCTTCATTGAAAGTTTATTTTGCATAAAGTGGGGCTAAAAATCCTGTCAGAGCATTAAGAATGCATGTTTTACGAAAAGTGGGGAAAAGTGACGTGTGAGAGGGAAGAGGCGGAGGAGTTGCAGGGGGTGAGAGGAGAGGGAGAGCGCCAACAGATGGGTACTTTTATGATGTCCATTTACAGATGCCACTCCTTACATTCGTTAAGGGCAAAAGTACGCAGCAATATAGTCTTTTAAGGGTGAGATTTGGGCACTAACTACTACCTCATTGACGATGGCAGCGAAGTCTCTTGCTGTGCCTCGTAACCGGTCTATTTGACTGAGTTTATCCCTCCATAACCGATTGCGTGCACAATCTCGGTCCGCACTTCACCGGTCCCTATGCTTGCTACTAAAAAAGGAAAAGGTCTGGGAGCTGCAAAACAAATTTCCATTTTACCCGCCCCATCGTCTCCCTTATTCGGTTGATGATGTAGCCAGGGCTTTGTCCTGGGAAGGAACGGGAATTTGACTATTATTGGCCACAAACAGTGAACCAGATTCATTTTCCTTTTGTTACGCAGGAGGCGGACAACAGCGGTTGCTGTTGGTATGCAAATTTACCCTTGAAAAATTGATGCTATTTTGGATGTTCTATTCATAACATATTATTTGGTCTTTACCATGTTGCTCCTGTTTCACTTCTCCACTCCTCTACCACTCTGTTGACGATTTATCGGTACTAGAGTAATTTTTTTTATATTTTTTACTTCAACGACATGTTTTGTTCCCCGTATTCATCCAACACAGATTTGTGCATTTCCCTCGCAGTACCTCCGTTCCTGCCATGTATTCCTGTTTCTGAGTTGTCTATTTTGCACGTTTTACAAGGATTATCCAATCCCAGGGAATGTCACCGATCAGGCCCTTTAAAGTACGAGTAAATTTTGTTGGGTGAGGGTTTTAGATCCTCTGACACCCTGTAAGAGGGGTGCTGTATCGGATGGATGAAGAAATCGGTCCCTCCAAAGCAAGCGAACAGTGCTGTGTCTAAAATTGCCTAGGAACGGGACGCATAAGCCACGCCGCCAGGTGTCATTCAAGTGACCAGTAAACAATCTCAAATGTGTGCCTTCAAGGCATAGAGGCAAAATGGCAGGGTACCATTTGTTTGGCACCTTCCACACGAGCACTTTTCTGTTACAATACCTACACACTGGACATAATTAAGCTATTCTCAGCAATTTACTACCAATTTGATGGATCAGCAGTGAGAAATAAGAGTGACCTTTCTAAAACACACAGCACCTGTTTGTTTTGACTCACCTCAAGAAGGAAAGGCTCTGAACCACTATTGGATCCTTCGAACCTGTCTTGTGAAGCAATGCAAGTTAATATGGATCCAGGTTGGGCCGCCTTCGAAAGTGTATTCCACCAACTGTGTGAGGTGTGTACGATAGCGACGCCTACTGACTAAAATACATCTATTCACGCGCCCTTAATGGTGCTGCGAATGAACAATGGAAGATACTTTTTGAGAGCCTGCAAGTTACAACAAGTCATGTTTCACTTAGTTATACCGAAAGCGCACCACCTCAATAGTCAGCGGTAAAATGTTGGGGGGAGGGGGCGGTGGTGTCGGCGGTGGTGTCATGACTTATTGTTTGCTTTGATAAATGCTGTCAGCGATTGTTTTTGTTCTGGTCTTTTTAGTCCGAACCGCATTTCGTGACTAGCACTGATGTAGGGGACAGTATTGAGGTTTGTCCACGGTTTGAGTCCTACAAGCAGGCGAGGTGAGGCAAACAGAAACTTGCCCTCAAAGGAGCCATTAAAACGGAGTCTGAGTTAAATTCCACAATAATTCTACCATTGTTTTCTTTCATTTCATCACTCCCTTCCCCTCCTCCTCCAAAAATGTGTCCAGCGGGTTGAATGACCCCTTGACACCCAAATCTGTAGACAAGAAACTAATCCATTGTTTCATTTTTGCATCCGTAATTTCCTTTCAAAAAGAACCATCATTGGTCTGGCGCAAGATTCCGTGCTTGGCTCGGTAATTTCGAAACTTTTTTCTTTGCCTCCTTTCTGTTTAATTCCTTCTGCCTGTCTGTTTCGTGCACGTTTTAATTACATCTCTAACCAAGGCGCCCTTCGATCTTTGTGATTAAGGAAGTCTATCTTTTGGACCACTGAAAGGATTCAAAACCAAAGGCTGAAAAAGTGGAGTCTTAAGTAGACATTTAAGGCGATTTTGCTGAAGACCTATAGGTTTGACTACCTCCCTTTTAGTATTAACTAGCTGAACAATTCGGCCCTAATTCTTCCCTTGTGGATCACTAACAGTGACTACAATCTACTTTTAGGTTGCCTCTGGAGGCAATGAAATGACTATAACTTCATAATCACTCATTTTATAGGTTCACAGAGGAGGTGTTAAGTTGGTATCCCTGAAAGCCGACTAAATGCTTAATGCTATCATCGTTACAAATGTGCTACCCTTGTTCAAACCATCTCGATACTACCAATAAGCAATTAGGCTGTATATTGTCTTCTCAGTGAGTTTTCTGAAATTCACATTTTTTTTTGCTATTCCTCCTCGACTGTCTAGTTCATCTGCAACTCCACATGCCCGCCCGAGCTCAACAAAATGGAGAACACCAATCTCTGTTTGGATGAGGAACAGTACGAAAAAATGTCTGGTGCAAAGGTGGCACGTGCCCGAAATCAGGCCCTCATAGCAGCTGGAATTGTCCTCCTATTCCTTCTCATCTTCTCTCTTGTATTTGCTGTTCTCTGCTTCAATTACAAAGCCAAACGCAGTCGTATTAAGGAGGCATTAAAGTCTACCTACACTAATATCAAAGCACCGGATATGAAGGTGAGTTATCATTTGTCCTCCCTTCATCCTTACTGCCAGCTGAGAGTGTAGGTTTTTCAGCCACTGCTGAATTTGAAGCTCGGACTAATTGCTCCTCAGGCGGATTAACTGTTAACTTCGCTCCCTAATTATTGGTCCTGCTACCGTACATCGTTCATTCCTGCAGCTTTGTGGCATCGTTTGTCTGGAATAGGCAAAACTACGACATCTTGTAATTTAGCGCTATCGCGTTCTGAACTCGCTGATCAACTACCCATTTTTATTGCTTTCGTCTTATTGCAATGCTGAGGGGTATTGAATTGTTATGTGGTTGTCGCGATCCGCCTTCTTTGTGGATGGACATTAGGCATAGCCCCGAGACTGGTTGCTGATCGAAAGGGACATTAAGTTCGACGATGAGGTCTGCAACGAAGTCTTTCACTGACCATAATGCGGAACTTCTATTGAGTGTTTGTACGTTTTGATGGACCTTCCCTCGAGCCTTACTACATCTCTCCACTGGAAAGGGGCATCTTCTCATCACTTATTAAAATTTAGGCTTTTGCCATGTTTTTTTTGAGTAGCTTTGATGAAAGTGCAAGGTAATCGGGAATATCGACAAATCTTTCAATGATAAAACAAAAAGTATTTTTAAAACCATGAAATTAACTCCTTTCCAAGTAATTAATTATTCATTTCTCATGCGACATTTGTAGACCTCTGTCAAGACACCCGGCTTGCCTTCATTATCATTTCACCGGTGGGTAAAGTACTTGTACACTTCCCACAGTAAATCGTAGCCAATGAAGGCAAATGTTTTGCTGTGGATCGAATTACCGCAGACCGGAGGAGGAGGGGCGGGGATGCCTGAGGGAATGATAAGAGGCTCACCTTTGAACTGACATTTACCCAACAACAAGTTTTATTGCCTCTACTGCGAACTATGGGATTGTGATCACGCGTTGGAGGTTTCACTGCGGTTGTTTTGAAGGGCATTTTGCGTGCAATTGTTAGGAGAGTCACCATTTTTGTTAGAAAAATAGTGGAAGTCTATTATTTTTTTACTCTCAATAATCTTCTTAATGGAGTAAAAATAAACGCTGAATGTTGTTGGTCTCTATTTCATGAAATTGTCATTAGTACAAAAAGAAACATTTTGCCATAAAAGTTCCATGTTGTCCATCTATTTGCTCAATATAGGCTTATAATGCCTATTTGAGTCCTGATTCCTTACTCGGCCTAAGCTCTATTTGCTTCCACTTGGGATCCAAAAGCTATTTAACATTTCGATGGCTGCTGAAGGTCACCAGATGAGTCTTTTTTTTTGAGCAACTACATATCATTTGCATTTATCGCGAAGCCTTTAATCTGCATCCCTCTGGGTGGTCAAGTGTCTGCCTCTCCATGCCAGTACTCGCCGCCAAATGGTAAGGCATGCAATGCAAAGGATACTGCTAGCAAATGACTAAGAGGAAAGAGTAGAGGGGGATAGGAAAGGAGAGAGGAGGAGGGAAGTGGGGAGGGCAGTTGCGGAACAGCAATGCACAGGGAACCGGTGCTATCCACTAACCCTGTTCTTGGATGTTGTGTTGAAAATTCGTCCAATTGTGCAGACTTCTCTGTTGCCTTCTCACTTTGTTCCAGGATGTCCAAGAAAAAGGGCAACGATTCGACTACAATTTTCCCATCCATCCTTAATCTGCGTTCCGATTTTTAAGTGTTTTTCTCTCTCAATGTAAATAGCATAAAAGTATTGTTTATGTGCATGACTTTCAATGTATGCATTCGTTTACTCTAGAAGGCGAAATATATCACCATCTTATGGTAATTACTAATTGAAGAGAGAATTTGGTGGTGGTATAAAAACATTTTATGTGGAGGTAATTTTTTTTTTTTGCACAATTTACGATCTCCGAAAATAGTCGCTTAAATTAATCCCACAACTAATCTGGGGCGACCAGTTTATGTCCACTTAGTTTACCTTTCTGGCCAATTTAGTGGCCTTAATGTCTCTCCATCCACCGGCTTGCCTACTCGTTCATGCATCCATTCTCTTTCATTATTTTTGCACCTGTTGGATGTAACTATGTAACCAACTTTTTTTTGTCGTTCTGTTGCCATTATAAAACATAAATTTGTGAGTTAAAAATATCCTACAGTTTTGATATTAAGTCTGCATTTTTAATGATAAGGTGGACACTTGGGCTTAGAGCACAAAAGTAGGGGACTGAGGGAGGAGGAGTGTTCGAATTAGCGCCTTGTTGAAGAGAATGCATGACCTCTTGCATTGGGCAGTGACTCAGACTCCCAGATCTACTGATTCCTACTGCTCAACCGAAATTTGATGTCTTGAACTCAATGAGACTGCATTGAATCCCTCCTCCCTTCTTCTTGCCCTAATCACCCACTATCTCGATGCTAAAGCAACGAAGGTGACATTTTTTTTGTATCGGCATTAAACGATGGTGTTAGTAGACCTCGTGTACACTTTACCGATGGGAATGGTTGCATCTGTTAATGCTTTGTCATTGCGATGGTCGTAAATGCTGACTAAGGGTATGAGGTGTCCAATTTCAAAGCTCACTGTCAGAGGGACTGATTAATTCACTCCTTTATCTGGATTGGAAGAGAAAATCACTCCACCACAGTCCTTGTCCATAGCACTTTTTTTTTAAACACCGGAAACGCTAAACAGTGTCATTTTCCCTGACTCACAAGCATCTCATGCCTCATATTATTGCTACAGCCTCATCTAATCTGTGTTTACCACATAACATTTGATATAATTATGAGTGATAAGGTGTGCATAGCACACATATATGTGACAATGAGGGAATGAGAAGTCATTTTTTGAGTATGGCCCTTGTCTAAGCGCCTAGGGATGAGGATCTCCTCAAACTTGTGCCCCCTTTACTCGCTCTCCAAACAGTCAAACGGTGAGCATAAAATGTGCAAGAGGTGTTTACAAATGCTCAAAAGCGCTGAACATCGTGAATCGCGTTGTCTGTGTGGTGGAGTGTCTTCTCCATCTAATTTATGTCTTTCTTTTGTCAGAGAAAAGCTCAGAACCATCTGGTGCGAACACAACTCGGCAGACAGTTTTTTTTCTAGCTTAGGTTTTCAAATTCCTTCTCCAACTTACTTTGTTTTGCTTGCTTACTAGAAGTTCTTTGTGACACGAAAAAGTGTTGACTTCTGTTTTCTAGAGTAAGGACAATAATGTACAAACCCCAGCAATTTTATTATGTTGACACAAAGTCTGTATGCGCTAAAATTACTGAAGAAAAAGGACTATTTTTGTACCCCTTTTTCGTAGCACAACCATGCGCCCGTTTATAGAACAATGGCTGCTGTGATTAACTTCAAGTTGGGTCCGGAATTACCACTGCTGCAGCAAGACTGGTCGAATGGTGACCTGAGTGTACAGTAAAATAGTCTTTTCCCACCTTACAGGACGCAAAGTCGAGCAGGGAGCCAAATATGGGTCGGTGGGAGATGATCAATATTGACGACCTGACCTTTGATGATCCCAGCAATCCCATTGGCAAAGGAGCCTTTGGTGAAGTGTATAGAGGCAAATGGCGAGTACCGAAACGAGTGCTAAACCAATTCAATTTGGCACGGAACACTTCACTAGACGTGGCGATCAAAGTGATTAGATCAGCTGCACCCACATCTCATGGCGGTCCTGCATCCAATCTCGGTGCCTCTGGGTCCGACAGCAATGCCAACACCGTTGATCGCATCTCCGCTAGGAGTAACCTCCAGGACATGCTAACAGAAGCCAAGGTAACTGTGGCCGAACTCCTTTACATCCATTTAGGGCAAAGTAATCCTCATGAAGGCTTCATTCATTTGATAGGTAGGTAGTTAAAGCCACTTTTAGGCACAGCAAAGTCTTCAACAAATAATCCTCTCCCACTTCAGAGAATGGCATTCTTCTCTCTTGATTGAGTGATGATCAAATTTTTTAAAGTCGCAGTCAAACTTAGAACCAAGTTTGCTTCTTTTTTAACCCCGAAGGGTAGAAATGATGGGGCCCGTCATTCAAGTGGGCTTCACCTTAATGTATGTGGCTTCGAATCATTTGACTCCATCTGCTCCATTCCAACAACTACCAACTTCAGAATTCCACTTTCATTTCAAGAGTACTTAATATGTTAATTTCCTTGAAATGCCTACCGAAATTCCTATTTACTCCAATTTTTCAGCATCTTTTAATTACTACGGCGAAGTAGCTACAAGTTGTAATCACGC